TCCACCAAACAAGAATTTCATGCCTTCGAAGCAAGGAACATCCAGAAATTTTATCACTTTTGTACCTCAGCTACAAATAGCATGAACTAGTTCATCAGTGTTGTTGTAATGAACAGGGGGGTTAACCAAAAGGACTTATCAAACAAATCAGTTTAGTCAAAAAAAAAAAATTAATTATAAAAGGATGACACCCAAATGCCAGGATTTCATACAAATAATAAATAGTGAAACACTTAAGGAGGCAGTACAGTCCGTTACTGCAGAAAGTATTATAGCTCCAGCACATACCATAACCTCAGGAACACCAATAATGTCCATATTCCATTGGTAGTGCTCCCGACGACGACCCCTAGTCATTCTTTCATACCGCCAACATTGTCCTACAGTAAACCACTTCAGCGGGAGGGACACAGATTTTCTGGAAAAACAATATCACAATTTGACATGTACAATTAAAGATAGAAAGAAATTATATTGGTTCGACTGAAAACCTATCATGAGAAAATTAAGAAGAATTTTCATACCCTTTCTGTATTATTAGCCTTGCCAACGAAGGAGTTAGTTCAGGCCTCAATGCAACACGACGATTACCCCGATCTTCAAAACAATAAAGCTGCAGAAATGAAGTTTTAAGACTTTTTTTTTTCACATTCTTCTATTATTTTCCCATGTTTTGTCCGTCATGATCAGAAAAAGACACAGTCAAGCCAGTAAATAAAGTCGACATATTGATTGCTTATCTTTCAATATCCCAAGGCATTCCATGGCCCTATCACTACGACATATTAGTTACTCATGGAACCAGATGATGAAACGGTACAACCAGTACACAAGGTATATGCATGGTTGTCATTTCATACGATTAATTGTCCGCAAGTGGTGAGGCAATATAAAGCACAGGGCAACAAAGAAATTACTATCAACATCATGGTCATTTACCAAATATCTAGCAATCAAAAGTGACTCGGACTCTGAAAATCAATTACCATTAGCAAATAATCACAGCTTTATCAATTTTTATCACAGCAAATAGAACTCAGAAGATATGATTGTAAGATCTTGACATTTAAGTTGTGATGTTGACAACCCTATACTGTTTTCTCCCCCCTAAAAAAGTCTTCGATGTTGCTGGAGCAGCTGATTTGATATTATCTAGATTGCCACATCTGAAATCCTTCTAAGCTAACAAAAATACAAAATCTCTCATGGAAGTAATTTAAAATGCACAAACAGCGGATAACACTATGACCCTCGTATCAGAAGAATGTCATCCTCCAATGACCACTTCGAGTACCCTACAGCCACTTTGTAAAATCAAAAGAATGAGCCAATAGCACAAAGTCCACAATGATTGAAGCCACCATAAGCAAAGCTGGCTACCCTATGGAGGATTGCTCGCCTCATATCGTCTGCGTATCACTATAACACATAGATTTTGAACCTAAGATTAAAGGATGGAATAATCACACAAGAAACCATAGTATACAATGCACATTATATATCTTTTATACGGGCAGTAGCATATATCCTCATTAAGAAGGCATAATAGCGACCTGGTCTTTAATCTCCTCCCCTGCCTTCCTAGTGAACAACGCCTCTGACTCAAGCACCGGAAAATCAACCTCCTCGAACCCATACAGCCTTGAAACCTAGAGGTCACGGTAAAGCAACAAGCCGCGGGTGAAAAAGAATCCAATCAATAATCAACCATAATATGGATGCTCACATGTTAAACAATTCTAAACTTTTTCACCTCTTTGAAATTGTTGAAAAGCCAGCTGCGCAGGCGCATATCTTCGGGCGGGAAATCCCGCGTCCCCTTAGGAGGATTCACGTCGATTTTCTGCACATCTCCAGTAAGTGGACCCGGAGATAACGCACCTGACCTGCCGCCGCCACTCGTATTATCACTCGCAGACTCGGCTTGAGTCGCTTGTGACAGGGCACAGTGTAGTCTAGTCGTCGGCGAAAATGGAGACCGGCGGATGGAGAATCTGCAAGTGCAATTGAACGAAAGGGATGGAGATGACAATTGATGGCTGAAGGAATAAAATAATGGTTTAAAGTATAAATTGAAGTGCGGTTGGAGGACAAGGAACGAGGATGGAAGTGGAGTTGCAGGCATGGCAATGGTGATAGCGTCACTCTTGCTGCCTGCAATTCTGGTTTTGCTTGCTTGTGACGACGCGGGATAAAAGTTCGGATTTCGCGGGCTGGATTGCCCGTGGCCTTAGAGTTAGACCCATGAGAAAAAAATTTTTCCCCTTTTAGATTGCCAGCATCCCATTGAGCTGTTTCGTCATTGGACCTTAACAAGATTGTTTCCCTCCTGAGAGACGTTCAATTTATCGTAGGCCCATGCCATTGACAGATAAACGCTACAGAAGGCCCATGGGCCTCGTATTCACTTTTTTATTTTGCGAGACGAAGAAGTATTATCCAAAAAAAAATGGAGAATACGGGATATAAATTCTTTTTTTTAGAGATAACGAAGTTTTTTGTCGTTTAAATTTATGTTCGTTATATATTAATTTGGTCCTTGAAATTTAATCTTCATCAATTGAGACTTTAAAGTCTTATAAGCATGAACAACTAGTCTTTATGGTTTGAAAATATATATTTTTATCACGAATGTACTGCAACCTTTAGATTAATGATGACAATCTCTTCAGAAATTTTAGAAGATGTTATTGATCTAATAAGATCAAATAAAAATTTAAAAGAGTGTGTAGAGCTTTAAGAATTTGATCGATAAAAACTAAATTTTAAGGACTAAATTGATAATTGAGCCAGATTTAATGATCAATTGATCTGATTATCCTATGTTTTTTTTTTTAAATTAAAATTCCCGTCCCTGTAGAATCCTGAATAAGCGTAGATTTTTTTTTTTAATATTCTACTCCTCCGGTCCTAATTATAAGACCCAATTGACTTTTTTGAGGAGATTAAGGAAATAAGTTAAGTTGGTTATTTATAATAAATAAGTGTTGTCATTCCTAAAATATCCTTACTAATTAAGTATATTGGCTAAAACTATCATTATTAGAAGGATTATCTTGGAAAAAAATGCATAAATATAAGAGACAAAATGGATTGGGTCTTATAATTAGGACCAAATAAAAAGTCAAATTGGATCTTATAATAAAAACCGGAGGAGTACTTTTTATTACCAGGTTAATGGCAAAAGAGAGAGTCGTTAAGAGAGCAGAAGACATAATAAGGGCGTTGTAATAAAATACCATTTGAAATGGTTTAAATTATTTAATATTTTTTATATGTGCGCATTTTGAGGGCATATATTTTGAAATGGAAGGAAGGAGCATATGTTAGTATCTGTTTTGGACACCGAGACGCCAACCAATAAGTAGTGCCTCCAGTATTTAATATAAGATTTTATTTGATTTTTTATCTTGATTTTAAATATAAGGTCCCAATTCATTTTGTCTTTTATATTTATGTATTTCTTTTCAAAATAATCCTTCTAACAATAATAGTCATAGCCAATACACTTAATTAGCAAAGATATTTTAGAAAAGACAATACATATTTATTACAAATAACGAACTTAATTTATTTTTTTAATCTCCTCAAATTAATCAATTAGTTTTTATAATTAGAACCGGAGGTAATACTAAAAAAATGCAGTACTGGTATACGCATACGGTGGTTATTATTATTTATTTGAATATCCGGTGGTTATTATTATTAATGGGTTATTTTCTGCCAGGAACGGGCAATTCCTAACTGCACCTACAACCCGAAGAGACAAGACAAATAATCAAGTCGCACAATGCACATGGTTTCAGTGGACTAGCACGTTCACATTTTGAGTGGAACTTGGGTCCCCTCTCGTCATCGACCACTTAGGGTGTGTTTGGATAAAACTAAACCGTGGTTTAAAAAAGTGATTCTGAAAAATAGATTATGGGGAGAATAGATTCTGTGAAGAATAGATTTTATAAAAAAGCGATTCTGAAAAGTGAGAGTATTTGGATAATTGTTATCAGAAGCACTTTTTATATATACAAATTACTAAAAAAAAGACATAAGTTAATATGATAATTACAGAAAAAATAGATTTTATGATATATTTTAATTTGAAGGAATAAAATTGTTAATAATATATTTTTTACCAACATAATTAATAATACATAAGATAATATAATTAATAATTAATTAATATGTATATATATTTATAAAATATAAGATTAAATATGTTTATAAAAAAATATGTTTATAAAAAAAATAACAAGATGCATATCCTATAGGCTCTCACACTCTCTCTTTTTTCTCCAAAAGCAAAAAAATTTTGCTTTTTTCAAAACCATGATTTTGGTTTTTGGGTGAGTGTTTGAGTGATTTATTCCCCAAACCATGGTTTGGGGTGTTACCCAAACACACCCTTAATTTCCTCCATTCGTTATCACGCCTTCTCAAATTTTATTCAATTCGTTGGTTTTTTTTTTTAAAATCAGTTTTCCATAGGTTTTGGTCACTACTAGAGCCAAAATGCACGTTCTGGTTCACAATTATTGACGCGCCGATGAATTATGGGGAAGAATAAAAGTGGGGGGAAAAAATAAAACGCCATAATATCAGTCTTTTAATTTCGCATCTATCATATCTAGAAAAATGCCATTAAAAAAGTGACGATATGTAACAGCCATAGCAATATCAGTCTACGTGGAGATTTACGTCCGAAGTCTCATTGGCTCAAGATAACTCTCAGAGCTTTAAAACGTCTATAAAAATATTTATATTATGTACAAATAAAATTTATTCATTGATAATAGATTTTTTTTTTTTTGCAAAAATCTAAAAAAAAACCCTTAAAATATAAGAAATTTTAGATTGGGTCCTGAAATTTTGTAAATGACGGAAATGGTCAATGATCCAATCTGTCATTTGTAAAATCAAAAAGAATTGATAACTTTGCCACATTTGTATTCATTCACTACAATAATTTAAAGAATCACTATAAGGATTTGGACGTTACTTAGATCTGTGTAGAGAATAACTACGCACTTTTTCATAGTCAGGTGCCTTGTTATTAACTACAATTAATCATGTAATCACTAGAACTGTATAAACGTTGCCTAGATTCGTGTAAAGAATAACTATTCACTTTTTCATAGTCAGGTACCTTATTGTTAACTACAACTAATAATATAATCACTAGAATAATGTAAACATTACCTAGATTTGTTTAAAGAATAACTACTCATTTTTGCTTAGCGAGGGCAAAATTGTCAATTCTTTTTAATTTTACAAATGACAAATTGGGTCATGACCCTTTCTGTTATTTACAAAATTCCATGACCCAATTTAAAATTTTTTATATTTCAAGGGCTTTTTTTAGAAATTTTTTTTTTTGGTTATCCAAATTCACACCGCTCACCGCTGTATGCATAAAATCGTATGCTTTGTCAGGACGGGGAAGTACCGTCCTTTTCAGCGCGGAAGACAATGCCATGTAAGGGCGTCATTCAAATTGTGAGCTGTACGCAATTACTACTTTCGGTCCTAATTATAAAAGCCAGTTGACTGATTTGAAGAAATTAAGAAAGTAAGTTGAGTTAGTTATTTGTCCTAAATAGGTGTTGTCTTTCTTAAAATATCCTTGCTAATCAAGTGTATGGACTAGAACTATTATTGTTAGAAGGACTAATTTGGAAAAAATGTATAAATATGAGAAACAAAGTGGATTGGGGTCTTATATTTAAGACCAAAATAAAAGTCAAACAGAGTCTTATATTAAGGACCGGAGGTAGTAATTAATATCGGTACGTTTTAAATAATTTTATATTCTCATGTTCAGAGCACTTAATAAGAACTCCAACGTAAATACACAAACCAGCAAGCGAAATACGAACCGCATGCGAAGTACACAAAGGAAAGGGGACTCTACTGTTAAAAGATGACCAGCGTAAAAAAAAACACTTAAAACATGTACACTGGACACTTGTTGGGTTTAGGAAGAGGGAAAAGGGAAAGCAAGCCGCGTATTCATCGCAATCTGGAACGTGTGCAGGATAACTTGTTGGAGATGTGGTTTGGTCCATTTGTCACGTGAACACCCTATGATTGGGCCTCTCCAACTGTCCCAGTTCTCAGCATCTTCTCGGTCACTTGCCTTCAGTTTTACACATTTCTAAAGTACCTCCCCACTCCCTACATCTCGTGCGCTAATTCCTCCCAGCAAACTTACTGTTACCCGTCTCTTGTTTTCTAGTACCGTTCAATTTCTTAAATATTCCAAAAGATCCAACTCTATACAAATTAAATATTCCATCAAATAGAAAAGCCTCTTTTGTGCGCGACAACACCGTCTCAACAAAAATACGACGGCTTTGGTTAAAAAAATGAAAACAGATCAGATGTACGTGTGTGTGTGTGATTGTGGTTTTTTGACAGTTCGGTGGATGTCACTGGGCTTTTGAATTCAAAAATGGTATAATGAGGGAGTTCCCTTCAAAACAAGCTACGACTCTGCCAACTCCATGAAGATTTGTCACCTTGTGGGGCTTCCCTTCAACCGGAATCAAAGATCACGAAGCGTCATGAGTGGGTGTTTGGAATTTTCAGCTCGCTGTCAGAGTTGGCTAACGTCATCACTTTCGTTGGATTTGGATTATTCTAGATAAGGTCAAAGATTAAACTATTAAGCCATTTTCTGCGTGCGTGAACCTTGCCCTTCTTCTCACCCGGCCCGATCATTTTGTACATGGCCTGGTAGGTGCCTTTTGTTTTAATTGGTATTTTAATTATATATCTACCAGCTGGGCCGCACTTAATCAGTTCTGATTAGTGCGAGGCTTGTAGGAAAATTTGGCTCTCACTCGCTACTCCGTCGCTTGTCATAATATTCTTTTAACCAAATTATACAGTTTAAAAAAACAGTTAAAATTAGTTAAAAATGATTAATACTACTTCCAATCATAATTATAAGACCCAATTGACAAATTTGGAGAGATTAAAGAACTTAGTTAAGTTAGTTATTTGTAATAAATAAGTATTATTTTTTCTAAAATATCTTTACTAATCAAGTTTGTTATCTAAAACTACTATTGTTAGAATGATTATTTTGGAAAAAAACGTATAAATATGAGAGACAGTGTGGACTGAGATCTTATATTTATGATCAAAATAAAAGTCAAACAAAGTCTTATATTAAGAGTCGGAGGTAGTATGTAACAAATGTAGTTTTTTTCTCCAAATATACCCATATACATAAATGGATAAATGTGAGAAAGTAATAGTTAAATAAATAAAAAATGTATTAAATATATTAAATTAGGAATAAGATACTTAATACTGCATTAAATGCTCAGACAAACTCAAAAAGAATCTTATAAAAAAGAACAAATCTATTAAAAATATTGATTTTATAATAAGAAACAGATGGAGTATTGTGCTGTTTATTTCATATCGTGATCTTCTCATTAATCATGGATTAATTTAAAATTTTCGAAATGTGTGAAAACCCGATAAGATCTATTCAAATGAATTGAGTTGAGTTGGTGAAGAATTCAATTGTGGGAGTTCATTTGGCATGATTAATTAAACTATTAGGCTATGAGTCGTGTGTTTAAATAATTTAAAGAGGTAATTGGAGTCTTGGGGTCCTAAAACACTAGCTATAAACTCATCGATGGAAAGGTTGACCCATAAATATCTTAAATCATGGGCCGAAAAGCTGACACTCGATTTGAGATTGGTTCGTTCACATGCAATATTAATTTTTAAGCGAGCAAAGCGGAGCATCTTTTGTCTAAATTAACCATATATTTAAAATGTGACGAAAGGAACCGTGATAGATCATTATACACATTATTTTCATGACTTCGTTCAAAAAATCAGGAGCCACTACTAATTACACATCCGACTAAAAATTAAACCGGTTGCTCTCGCTGTATATGCACGGCTTAAGCCGTGGCCACGTAACTCGAAAAATAAATAAACAAATAAATTGGTCACCATAAATTAAATAAGACGGAGCTGGGACACAAAAAACTCAACATATTTGAGCAAATATATTGATTTCAAGTTTTATGTACTGGAAAGAAATCACGTCGAGAGGTTTTTTACTTCCTCCCAGAGTTTGGAGTGTTGGAATTGTTTATAAATAATTTTTTAACCGTGATTTATAAAATATGAGGTTAATATGTAAATAAAGTTATATATTGGCTTGCATGAAACATGCTTTATAAGTACCTAAATAAATAGATCCAAACTATGCCTCAATCTCACACTAAAATAAACGTGAAGGAAAATTTATTTATAGGTCCCAGATAATTAAAAAACTAAACATAGAAAAAATCTCCACGGAATTGAATATTTGCAAGTTTTACTGGAAAAAATGAATGTTTGAATTACAAACATAGAGTTAAATTTGACTCGTAAATACATTAGAGTTTGAATTGCAAACATGATTTTTTTAAAACCTCTCAATGATCAATCTTCTTTTACGAGATGCATGGGTAATTTCACCCGACATTAATGAGGCAGACAACCGAAATCAGTTAGACGTGTGCGCCTTGGCTAGGAGGAGATCGACACCGTCAAATATGGAGTGAACTAACTTGGTCTTTGGCTCGATCCTCTTTTCTTCTCTTTTAATCCTTTTCCCTTCTTTTCTTTTTTAATAATTAAATTAATATATTTTAATGATTGAGATTTTAATTTTTATAGACTATTTATAAATAGTTTTTAAAAATATATTTAGTATATTTGCAACCATTAAATTTTAGTAGAGTTTATAATTTATAATTTATTAATTTTTATAATGTAATGTTTTAATAATAATTTTAAAAAAATTTAAATCTCAACCGTTAAAATATTAATCTAGCAGTTAATAAAAGAAGACGAGGAAAAAGAACGAGAATGGAATGGGAGAGCTTCCGAACAAGTGTTACTTTGTGGCGTGCGTTGAAGGATTTTCAATAATATCAACTTGGACGACAACGCATATCGGGTCACATGTTTAACAAGGCTGGAAATATTCGTGGTGTCTGAATTTTAGTGGCCGGGGACCAACAATCTGGAAAACGTTTCATCTCCGTTTCTTGAATTAGCAGCAGTAATTCAGCTACAGGAATTATACGCAACTGTCCGTTTTTCTTCCTCCCACTAACGGCCGTGCACGCGCCACGCTATCTCCAATTTCTGTCTCACTCTAATTTGTTTCGTCTTGCCCACCACCAGATTTTTCTGGGTTCAGGCCGGTGAATGGAGGATTCTGATTTCTCTAATCCCAATCACAGTCAAAGAGGTTCAGTTACACAAAGCAGCGACAAATGGCAAATAGTCAGATCTTCGTCACTGAAATCCCAACGCTGATCAAATATTGTACTGGAGCATTCTTTCTTACCGTCCCTTGATAATTACTACCGCCTCGGGTTGTATGTAGGGATGTAGCGTAGTTTTAATAATTTAATATTCAGCAATCTGCCGTTTCGGAAAAAGACAAACAATTAGCAAACACGAGCCTTGATCATTATTCATTTGGCAAAAAAGAAAAGCAACAAGGGAAACTCCATCTCTTCCTTTTGATTTTCACCCACCAGGCCGGGGCCCACGGCCTCCGAGGAACCTTCGCAACTGCCAACCAGAAGAAGGCCAGGGTTAATTCCGTCATTTCACTGACACATCAGTGAAAATATAGATGACGAGTCACTGTGGCGTTGCCCCTCCACCTCCACAGGAGCATAAGTCGGCCGCAAGCGAGGTCAGAATTTTTTTGGGGTAATACATTACTATATGGTTTATTAATTCAATAGAGATATTATATGTGTGCGCATATATATGTATATATAACTTTTTTTTTTCCCGGGGTAACTTAGTAGCAGTCGTTGTTTCGCTAAACCAATAAACCATCAAATTAAATAATTAATAATTCACATCCTCTTGTTGTATCATGGCCCATCATACATGCATAAGCCATGAGTCATGACCCATTCATCCTTCTCTGACCTAACTAGGACAGCAAGCCAATTCTTACTCCCTTGACCCC